TTTGTAGGTGAACAAATACTTATTTTCCACCATAATTCGCAAATAAATTAATAAAAAATCCTACAATGTGATTTACCGGAGAAAAAAAATCTCAATTTGTTTGTCATAGTTGACGTGTACCTATGATGAAAATTACAGGCCTCTCTCATCTTTTTAAGTGGGAGAACTTGCACAATTGGTGGCTGACTAAATACTTTTTCCCCCCACTGTACATGCCCGTCTGAAGTTTGCCAATGATTCAGAGGAGAACTGGCTGAAAGTGTTGTGGACAGATGAGACCAAAATGGAGCTCTTTGGCATCAACTCAACTCGCCGTGTTTGGAGGAGGAGGAATGCTGCCTATGACCCCAAGAACACCATCCCCACCGTCAAACATGGAGGTGGAAACATTATGCTTTGGGGGGGTTTTTCTGCTAAGGGGACAGGACAACTTCACCGCATCAAAGGGACGATGGATGGGGCCATGTACCGTCAAATCTTGGGTGAGAACCTCCTTCCCTCAGCCAGGGCATTGAAAATGGGTCTTGGATTGGTATTCCAGTATGACAATGACCCAAAACACAAGGCCAAGGCAACAAAGGAGTGGCTCAAGAAGAAGCACATTAAGGTCCTGGAGTGGCCTAGCTAGTCTCCAGACCTTAATCCCATAGAAAATCTGTGGAAGGAGCTGCAGGTTCGAGTTGCCAAACGTCAGCCTCGAAACCTTAATGACTTGGAGAAGATCTGCAAAGAGGAGTGGGACAAAAACCCTCCTGAGATGTGTGCAAACCTGGTGGCCAACTACAAGAAACGTCTGACCAAGTACCAAGTCATGTTTTGCAGAGGGGTCAAATACTTATTTCCCTCATTAAAATGCAAATCAATTTATAACATTTTTGACATGTGTTTTTCTGGATTTTTTTGTTGTTATTCTGTCTCTCACTGTTCAAATAAACCTACCATTAAAATTATAGACTGATCATGTCTTTGTCAGTGGGCAAATGTACAAAATCAGCAGGGGATCAAATACTTTCTTCCCTCACTGTGTTTGACCAGTGGTATGAAGCTGTGGCTTGGAGGATTGTTTATTCCTACTATGCAATGTATTCTCAGTCAATTTGGTGATGTGCTTTTTCCCCTGTTCAGAGAAATTAGCCATTGAAGTATTTTCCACCATAAATAAGTGTGAAAGTACCAGGTTTTGCCCCCTCGATGCTGCTTTTCCTGCCACACCATTTCATCCATTTCGCTGGTCTCTTGTTTTTATTAAATGAAACATTTTCTTTGCAACTTTGGGTAGAAAACCAATAGCTTTTGCTCATGATAAAAATACATTGTGTGGACATCCTCACAAGTCAAGCCAGTCCTCCATGAAAGCACATCAGTTTGTCCTTCTCCTAGGCGTAATCTGTGTCCAGGAAACGGCCCCTCCTGTGTGTGGTTTATTCCCTTCAATAAACGTCTGGATTAGTTAGAACATTCCTGGAGAACAAGAAACCCTTTAGGCTACAGCAGTTCTAATGGTCTCCGATGGTCTCTAATGGTCTCCAATGGTCTCCAATGGTCTCCAATGGTCTCCAGTGGTCTCTAGTGGTCTCTAGTGGTCTCTAGTGGTCTCTAGTGGTCTCCGATGGTCTCTAGTGGTCTCTAGTGGTCTCTAATGGTCTCCAATGGTCTCCAATGGTCTCCAATGGTCTCTAGTGGTCTCCAATGGTCTCCAATGGTCTCCAATGGTCTCCGATGGTCTCCGATGGTCTCTAATGGTCTCCGATGGTCTCTAATGGTCTCTAGTGGTCTCCGATGGTCTCTGATGGTCTCCAATGTCTCCAATGGTCTCTAATGGTCTCCAATGGTCTCAGGTGGTCTCCAATGGTCTCTAGTGGTCTCTAATGGTCTCTAATGGTCTCCAGTGGTCTCTAATGGACTCTAATTCTCTCCAGTGGTCTCTAGTGGTCTCTAATGGTCTCTAATGGTCTCTAGTGGTCTCTAATGGACTCTAATTATCTCCAATGGTCTCCGATGGTCTCCAATGGTCTCTAGTGGTCTCTAGTGGTCTCTAATGGTATCTAATGGTCTCTAGTGGTCTCCAATGGTCTCTAATGGTCTCTAATGGACTCTAATTCTCTCCAGTGGTCTCTAGTGGTCTCCGATGGTCTCCAATGGTCTCTAGTGGTCTCCAATGGTCTCCAATGGTCTCTAATGGTCTCTAATGGTCTCCAATGGTCTCCGATGGTCTCCGATGGTCTCCGATGGTCTCCAATGGTCTCTAGTGGTCTCCAATGGTCTCCAATGGTCTCCAATGGTCTCTAATGGTCTCCGATGGTCTCTAATGGTCTCTAATGGTCTCTAGTGGTCTCCGATGGTCTCTGATGGTCTCCAATGTCTCTAATGGTCTCTAATGGTCTCTAATGGTCTCCAATGGTCTCCGATGGTCTCCAGTGGTCTCTAGTGGTCTCTAGTGGTCTCTAATGGTCTCTAGTGGTCTCCAATGGTCTCTAGTGGTCTCTAATGGACTCTAATTCTCTCCAGTGGTCTCTAGTGGTCTCTAATGGTCTCCAATGGTCTCCAATGGTCTCCAATGGTCTCTAGTGGTCTCTAATGGTCTCTAGTGGTCTCTAATGGACTCTAATTCTCTCCAGTGGTCTCTAGTGGTCTCTAATGGTCTCTAGTGGTCTCCAATGGTCTCTAATGGTCTCTAGTGGTCTCTAATGGACTCTAATTCTCTCCAATGGTCTCCAATGGTCTCTAGTGGTCTCCAATGGACTCTAATTCTCTCCAGTGGTCTCCAATGGACTCCAATGGTAAAGGTCCCAAACACACTGTATAATGTTTTGTAATGGTATTGGGTCACACAGCATATAGAGATGTTTTCTAACGTGTTTATTGAAAAGCATAACTACCATACAATGGTTTATAATAGTACTATTATAATAGTGTTGTCAAGTCATTTTAGGGTCCTGTTCATTAGAGAACACTATCAAAACGTGTTTCAACCAGGGTGTACATGTCTAGATGTGGCTGGGGGTTGGTTTCCTTCTAATAATTATAAAATATTTTTATCTGGACACTTTCTGTTTTTGATATTGCTACTATGCAAGTAACCATTTCCCTGTACTGTTTACACCTTCTGTATCCTGTGCATGTGACAAGTAAACTTAGATTTTATTTGATATAGTGTTTGTTTACCAGAGACGTTTATTTGATATAGTGTGTGTTTACCAGAGACGTTTCTTTGATATAGTGTGTGTTTACCAGAGATGTTTATTTGATATAGTGTGTGTTTACCAGAGACGTTTATTTGATATAGTGTGTGTTTACCAGAGACGTTTATTTGATATAGTGTGTGTTTACCAGAGACGTTTATTTGATATAGTGTGTGTTTACCAGAGACGGTAATGTGAAGAACAACATGACCTGCACCAAAGTCAGATTAGGATACAGGACTAGATAAAGTGTATTTTTACCTGGAGTTTTTCCTTATTGTAGGCTACTACTCTTAACACTTTTAGTCTTGACATCTTTGGTTGTTTACTAAACTACTCACTCTGTTTAGCACATGGCCTCACATGGTCTACCCTGCTAGCCTACCCTGCCACTACCGTACTCACTCTGTTTAGCACATGGCCTCACATGGGAATCCTTAAAGAGGTGGGTGGGGCTAAGGCTTAAGAGGGTGTGAACGATGCTGAGTGGGTGGAGACGTGTACACGTCTAGACAATAGTGACCACTTAACTAGATGTGCACTTAGCATAACTTCCTATGTTGTGAAATTGTTAGATATTACTGCACTGTCGGAGCTAGAAGCACAAGCATTTCGTTACACCCGCAATAACATCTGCTAAACACGTGTATGTGACTAATAAAATTTGATTTGATTTGACAAAGAAGAGCTCTCCAGTAGGTGTACCAAAACATTCAAAGGACATTTTCTCAAGTGGGGTTACAAGTTTATCAACTTTCAAAGCAGAATTACTTTTCCATTGTTCCTCAACTACAGTGTATGATATACCATTTTCTAGCTCTGAGTCTCTACTTTTATCCAATGTAAAAAACACCATTTCAAATGTTGCTACATAAGACCGAATCGAAGTGGTCGGTCACATATGTTACGAATTCAAATGTGTGATTCATCTGATAACATTGAGGAGTTTACCACATCAGTCAACGTCTTCATTAATAAGTGCATCGATGACGTCCCCCCCCCCCAGTGACCGTACGTACATATCCCAACCAGATGCCATGATTACAGGCAACATCCACATTGATTGGCCCTGTTTATTAGAGAACACTGTATCAAAACATGTTTCAACCAGGGCCGTTAATTAGAGAACGCTGTATGAAAACATATTTCAAGTAGGGCCCCGTTCATTAGAGAACACTGTATCAAAACATATTTCAACCAGGGCCCTGTTCATTAGAGAACGCTGTATCAAAACATGTTTCAACCAGGGCCCTGTTCATTAGAGAACACTGCATGAAAACATGTTTCAACCAGGGCCCTGTTCATTAGAGAACACTGCATGAAAACATGATACAAATAATAATAGTCTTTATATTAATTTTAGGAGGGATTCAACTTTATTTTCCAGTAGATATAGTTTAATCAATAGCAGTTTGTGGATAAAGTTGGTCATCATTTTCTGAACAGTTTCCAGTAGATATAATTTCATCAATAGCAGTTTGTGGATAAGTTGGTCATCATTTTCTGAGCAGAAACACAAGTTTGGGAGAAGCTTCATTTCCCAAAGTTCCCAGCGGACAAAACCATTTGTTTTCTAAACAGAGGTGTCACCAAAGCGGTGTTGTATGCATTAGGTCACTCCAAGCTAACTTTCAAAGATGCATTAGAAGCTTTTTTTCAAGTTATCAAAAATGACAACTATGACAAACGTGGCCATGTCCATGACACTGAATCATTACCCAGAATTCCATAATAGCCCTAATGGTCACCTGATCACATGGTAGGGCAGGAAGAGAGGCTGTCCCTTTGGCACTTTAGAAATCTAATCCCTGTTGTGTGTCAGTGGAAGAACAGGTCTTGACAGATGCGTTGTGTATCTTCAGGGCAAGTGACTTCATGTCCGATGGTTCTGGGATCTGCATAGATCTCATAGTCGTTTCCTCCCTAAAGCACAACATCAACATTAATATATCATATTGTTTCCTCCCTAAAGCACAACATCAACATTAATATATCATATTGTTTCCTCCCTAAAACACAACATTAATACATCATATTGTTTCCTCCCTAAAACACAACATTAATATATCATATTGCTTCCTCCCTAAAGCACAACATTAATATATCATATTGTTTCGTCCCTAAAGCACAACATCAACATTAATATATCATATTGTTTCCTCCCTAAAGCACAACATCAACATTAATATATCATAGTCGTTTCCTCCCTAAAGCACAACATTAATATATCATATTGTTTCCTCCCTAAAGCTCAACATTAATATATCATATCGTTTCCTCCCTAAAGCACAACATTAATATATCATATCGTTTCCTCCCTAAAGCACAACATCAACATTAATATATCATATCGTTTCCTCCCTAAAGCACAACATCAACATTAATATATCATATCGTTTCCTCCCTAAAGCACAACATCAACATTAATATATCATATCGTTTCCTCCCTAAAGCACAACATCAACATTAATATATCATATCGTTTCCTCCCTAAAGCACAACATCAACATTAATATATCATATCGTTTCCTACCTAAAGCACAACATTAATATATCATATCGTTTCCTCCCTAAAGCACAACATCAACATTAATATATCATATCGTTTCCTCCCTAAAGCACAACATCAACATATCATATCGTTTCCTTCCTAAAGCACAACATCAACATTAATATATCATATCGTTTCCTCCCTAAAGCACAACATCAACATTAATATATCATATCGTTTCCTACCTAAAGCACAACATTAATACATCATATTGTTTCCTTCTTAAAGCACAACATCAACATTAATATATCATATCGTTTCCTCCCTAAAGCACAACATCAACATTAATATATCATATCGTTTCCTCCCTAAAGCACAACATCAACATTAATATATCATATCGTTTCCTCCCTAAAGCACAACATCAAAATTAATATATCATATCGTTTCCTACCTAAAGCACAACATTAATATATCATATCGTTTCCTCCCTAAAGCACAACATCAACATTAATATATCATATCGTTTCCTCCCTAAAGCACAACATCAACATATCATATCGTTTCCTTCCTAAAGCACAACATCAACATTAATATATCATATCGTTTCCTACCTAAAGCACAACATTAATACATCATATTGTTTCCTTCCTAAAGCACAACATCAAACATTAATATATCATATCGTTTCCCTCCCTAAAGCACAACATCAACATTAATATATCATATCGTTTCCTCCCTAAAGCACAACATCAACATTAATATATCATATCGTTTCCTCCCTAAAGCACAACATCAACATTAATATATCATATTACACCGGCTCTGACGCTCGTCGGATGTGGCAGGGCTTGAAAACTATTACAGACTACAAAGGGAAGCACAGCCGCGAGCTGCCCAGTGACATACTCCTGAGTGGCGCAGTGGTCTAAGGCACTGCATCGCAGTGCTAACTGTGCCACTAGAGATCCTGGTTCGAATCCAGGCTCTGTCGCAGCCGGCCGCGACCGGGAGACTCATGGGCGGCGCACAATTGGCCCAGCGTCGTCCAGGGTAGGGGAGGGAATGGCCGGCAGGGATGTAGCTCAGTTGATAGAGCATGGCGTTTGCAACGCCAGGGTTGTGGGTTCGTTTCCCACGGGGGGCCAGTATAAAAAAAAAAAATGTATTCACTAACTGTAAGTCGCTCTGGATAAGAGCGTCTGCTAAATGACGTAAAATGTAAATGTAAAAACAAGACTTCCAGACGAGCTAAACCACTTCTATGCTCACTTCGAGGCAAGCAACACTGAAGCATGCATGAGAGCACCAGCTGTTCCGGACGACTGTGTGATCACGCTCTCCGTAGCCGATGTGAGTAAGACTTTTAAGCAGGTCAACATTCACAAGGCCGCAGGGCCAGACGGATTACCAGGACGTGTACTCCGAGCATGTGCTGACCAACTGGCATGTGTCTTCACTGACATTTTCAACCTGTCCCTGACTGAGTCTGTATACCAACATGTTTCAAGCAGACCACTATAGTCCCCGTGGCCAAGAACACTAAGATAACCTGCCTAAATGACTACCGACCCGTAGCACTGACGTCTGTAGCCATGAAGTGCTTTGAAAGGCTGGTCATGGCTCACATCAACACCATTATCCCAGAAACCCTAGACCCACTCCAATTTGCATACCGCCCCAACAGATCCACAGATGCAATCTCTATTGCACTCCACACTGCCCTTTCCCACCTGGACAAGAGGAACACCTACGTGAGAATGCTATTCATTGACTACAGCTCAGCATTCAACACCATAGTGCCCTCAAAGCTCATCACTAAGCTAAGGATCCTGGGACTAAACACCTCCCTCTGCAACTGGATCCTGGACTTCCTGACGGGCCGCCCCCAGGTGGTAAGGGTAGGTAACAACACATCTGCCACACTGATCCTCAACACAGGGGCCCCTCAGGGGTGCGTGCTCAGTCCCCTCCTGTACTCCCTGTTCACCCATGACTGCATGGCCAGGCACGACTCCAACTCCAGCATTAAGTTTGCCGACGACACAACAGTGGTAGGCCTGATCACCGACAACGATGAGACAGCCTATAGGGAGGAGGTCAGAGACCTGGCCGTGTGGTGCCAGGACAACAACCTCTCCCTCAACGTGACCAAGACAAAGGAGATGATTGTGGACTACAGGGATAAAAAGTGGACCGAGCATGCCCCCATTCTCATCGACGGGGCTGTAGTGGAACAGGTTGAGAGCTTCAAGTTCCTTGGTGTCCACATCACCAACAAACTATCATGGTCCAAACACACCAAGACAGTCGTGAAGAGGGCACGACAAATCCTATTCCCCCTCAGGAGACTGAAAAGATTTGGCATGGGTCCTCAGATCCTCAAAACGTTATACAGCTGCACCATTGAGAGCATTCTGACTGGTTGCATCACCGCCTGGTATGGCAACTGCTTGGCCTCTGACCGCAAGGCACTAGAGAGGGTAGTGCGTACGGCCCAGTACATCACTGGGGCCAAGCTTCCTGCCATCCAGGACCTCTATACCAGGCGGTGTCAGAGGAAGGCCCTCAAAATTGTCAAAGACTCCAGCCACCCTAGTCATAGACTGTTCTCTCTGCTACCGCACGGCAAGCGGTACCGGAGTGCCAAGTCTAGGTCCAAAAGACTTCTCAACAGCTTCTACCCCCAAGCCATAAGACTCCTGAACAGCTAATCATGGCTACCCGGACTATTTGCACTGCCCATTATTAAGCTATAACGTGGTTGTCATTATAACGTGGTTGTCATTATAAAGCTATAACGTGGTTGTCATCATAAAGCTATAACGTGGTTGTCATTATAACGTGGTTGTCATTATAAAGCTATAACGTGGTTGTCATTATAACGTGGTTGTCATTATAAAGCTATAACGTGGTTGTCATCATAAAGCTATAACGTGGTTGTCATTATAACGTGGTTGTCATTATAAAGCTATAACGTGGTTGTCATTATAACGTGGTTGTCATTATAAAGCTATAACGTGGTTGTCATTATAACGTGGTTGTCATTATAAAGCTATAACGTGGTTGTCATTATAAAGCTATAACGTGGTTGTCATTATAAAGCTATAACGTGGTTGTCATTATAAAGCTATAACGTGGTTGTCATTATAAAGCTATAAACGTGGTTGTCAGTTAAGGTAAAAGCTATAACGTGGGTTGTCATTATAAAGCTATAACGTGGTTTGTCCATCATAAAGCTATAACTGTGGTTGTCATTATAAAGCTATAACGTGGTTGTCATTTAAAGCTATAACGTGGTTGTCAAATTTTAAAGCTTTAAAAAGGTTGTCATTATAAAGCTATAACGTGGTTGTCATTATAACGTGGTTGTCATTATAAAGCTTTTAACGTGGTTGTCAATCCCATAACGTGGTTGTCATTATAAAGCTATAACGTGGTTGTCATTATAAGCTATAACGTGGTGTCATCATAAAGCTATAACGTGGTTGTCATTATAACGTGGTTGTCATTTTAAAACTATAAACGTGGTTTTTCATTATAAAGCTATAACGTGGTTTTCATTATAAAGCTATAACGTGGTTGTCATTATAAAGCTATAACGTGGTTGTCATTATAAAACTATAACGTGGTTGTCATTATTAAAGGGTATAACGTGGTGTCATTATAAAGCTATAACGTGGTTCATTATAAAGCTATAACGTGGTTGTCATCTATAACGTGGTTGTCATCATAAAGCTATAAGTGGTTGTTGTCTATAACGTGGTTGTTCATTATAAAGCTATAACGTGGTTGTCATTATAAGCTATAACGTGGTTGTCCATTATAAAGCTATAACGTGGTTGTCATCATAAAGCTATAACGTGGTTGTCATTATAACGTGGTTGTCATTATAAAGCTATAACGTGGTTGTCATTATAAAGCTATAACGTGGTTGTCATTATAAAGCTATAACGTGGTTGTCATTATAAAGCTATAACGTGGTTGTCATTATAAAGCTATAACGTGGTTGTCATTATAAAGCTATAACGTGGTTGTCATTATAAAGCTATAACGTGGTTGTCATTATAAAGCTATAACGTGGTTGTCATTATAAAGCTATAACGTGGTTGTCATTATAAAGCTATAACGTGGTTGTCATCTATAACGTGGTTGTCATCATAAAGCTATAACGTGGTTGTCATTATAACGTGGTTGTCATTATAAAGCTATAACGTGGTTGTCATAATTAAGCTATAACGTGGTTGTCATTATAAAGCTATAACGTGGTTGTCATTATAAAGCTATAACGTGGTTGTCATCATAAAGCTATAACGTGGTTGTCATTATAACGTGGTTGTCATTATAAAGCTATAACATGGTTGTCATTATAAAGCTATAACGTGGTTGTCATTATAAAGCTATAACGTGGTTGTCATCATAAAGCTATAACGTGGTTGTCATTATAAAGCTATAACGTGGTTGTCATTATAACGTGGTTGTCATTATAAAGCTATAACGTGGTTGTCATTAATAAAGCTATAACGTGGTTTGTCATTATAAAGCTATAACGTGGTTGTCATAATAAAGCTATAACGTGGTTGTCATTATAAAAGCTATAAACGTGGTTGTCATTATAAAGCTATATAAACATGGTTGTCATTATAACCGTGGTTGTCATTATAAAGCTATAACGTCGGTTGGTCATTAATAAAACTATAACGTGGTTGTCATCTTAACGTGGTTGTCATCATAAAGCTATAACGTGGTTGTCCATTATAACTGGTTGTCATTATAAAGCTATAACGTGGTTGTCATTTTAAAGCTATAACGTGGTTGTCATTTTAAAGCTATAACGTGGTTGTCATCATAAAGCTATAACGTTTGGGTTTTCATTATAACGTGGTTGTCATTTTAAAGCTATAACGTGGTTGTCATTATAAAGCTATAACGTGGTTGTCATTAATAAAGCTATAACGTGGTTGTCATTATAAAGCTAAACGTGGTTGTCATTATAAAAGCTATAACGTGGGTTGTCATTATAAAGCTATAACGTGGTTTTCATTATAAAGCTAAACGTGGTTGTCATTATAAAGCTATAACGTGGTTGTCATTATAAAGCTATAACGTGGTTGTCATTATAAAGCTATAACGTGGGGTTTTCATCTATAACGTGGTTGTCATCATAAAGCATAACGTGGGTTTTCATTATAACGTGGTTGTCATTATAAAGCTATAACGTGGTTGTCATAATTAAGCTATAACGTGGTTGTCATTATCAATCTATAACGTGGTTGTCATTATAAAGCTATAACGTGGTTGTCATCATAAGCTATAACGTGGTTGTCATATAACTGTGGTGTCATATAAGCTATAACATGGTTGTCATTATAAAGCTATAACGTGGTTGTCATTATAAAGCTATAACGTGGTGTCATCATAAAGCTATAACGTGGTTGTCATTATAAACTATAACGTGGTTGTCATTATAAAGCTATAACGTGGTTGTCATTATAAAGCTATAACGTGGTTGTCATCATAAAAGCTATAACGTGGTTGTCATTATAAAGCTTATAACGTGGTTGTCATTATAACTTAACGTGGTTGTCATTATAAGCTATAACATGGTTGTCATTATAACGTGGTTGTCATTATAAGCTATAACGTGGTTGTTCATTATAAAGCTATAACGTGGTTGTCATTATAAAGCTATAACGTGGTTTGTTCATTATAAAGCTATAACGTGGTTTTTTCATTATAAAGCTATAACGTGGTTGTCAAATTTTAAGCTAAACGTGGTTTTTCATTATAAAGCTATTAACGTTTGGTTTCATCATAAAGCTATAACTGGTTGTCATTATAAAACTATAACGTGGTTGTCATTATAAAGCTATAACGTGGTTTTCATTATAAGCTATAAGTGGTTTGTCATTATAAGCTATAAACATGGTTGTCCATTATACGTGGTTTTCATTATAAAGCTATAACGTGGTTTCATTATAAAACTATAACTTGGTTGTCATTATAAAGCTATAATGTGGTTGTCATTATAACGTGGTTGTCATTATAAAGCTATAACGTGGTTGTCATCATAAAGCTATAATGTGGTTGTCATTATAAAGCTACTTACAGGTTTAGTTTTGTCTCCAAAGAAGTGTATGGTTTTATAGGAGTCTTTCTCTACCAGGCCCAGACAAATAACGCTTGTCCCAGCCCCTTTTGGGAACACATCAAAACTGATTGACCACTGCAGAGAGGAGGGAGAGAGGGAGGAGGGAGAGGGGGGGAGGGGAGAGGGAGAGAGGGGGGGGGAGGGGGAGGGGGGGAAGGAGAGGGGGGGAGGAGGGAGGGGGGGGGATGGGGAGGGGGAGAGGGGCGGGGAGAGGAGGGGGGGGGAGAGGGACGGGGGAGAGGGAGGGAAGGGAGAGGGAGGGGAGGGGAGGGGGTGGGAGCGAGGGAGTAGGGAGAGGGGGTGGGAGAGGATGAGGAGAGAGGGGGTAGAGGGAGGGGGGAGGGAAAAGGTGGGAGTGAGAGAGGGGGGGGGGTGGGATAGAGAGAGGGTGGGTGGTTAGAGGTCAGGGTCAGACTCACCAAAAGAGAAAGTCCTTAGGGTTAGAGGTCAGGGGTTTGACTCACCTATAGAGAAGTCCTTGGGTTAGAGGCAGGGTTATGGTCGACTCACCAAAGAGAAGTCCTAGGGTTAGAGTCGGGGTTATAGGTCAGACTCACCTATAGAGAACCTTAGGTTAGAGGTCAGGGGTTATAGGGAGATACCAAGAGACGTCCTAGGGGGAGTCAGGGGTTATAGGTCAGACTCACCTATAGAGAAGTCCTTAGGGGTTAGAGGTCATGGGTTTATAGTCAGACTCACCCCTATAGAGAAGTCCTTAGGGTTAGAGGTCAGGGTTTAGTCAACTCACCCCTATAGAGAAGTCCTTAGGGTTTAAGAGGTCAGGGTTTATAGGTCGCTCCCTATAATAGAAGTCTTAGGGTTAGAGGTCGGGGTTTAGGTCAGACTCAACCTTAGAGAATTCCTTAGGGTAGAGGTTCAGGGGCTATGGTCAGACTCACCTATAGACGTCCTTCGTGTTAGAAGGTCAGTGGTTATAGGTCAGACCACCTATATAGACGTCCTTGGTTAAGAGGGCAGGGGTCAGACGCACCTATAGAGACAGTCTTAGGGTTAGAGGTCACGGGGGTTATAGGTCACTCACCTATAGGACGGTCCTTAGGTTTAGAGGTCAGGGGTTATAGTGTCAGACTCACCTATAGAGAAAGTCATTAGTGTTAGAGGTCAGAGGGTTATAGGTCAGCTCACCTATAAGAGACTATCCTTATGGTTAGAGTCAGGGGTTATAAGGTCAGACTCACCTATAGAGACGTCCTTAGGGTTTATAGTCATGGGTTAATAGTTCAGACTCCCCTTAAGACGTCCTAGGGTTAGAGTCAGTGGTTTTAGGTCAGCTCACCTAATAGTGAAGATCCTTAGGAGGGTAGAGGTCCGGGGTGATATTCAGACTCACCTAGAGAGAAGTCCTTAGGGTTAGAGGTCAGTGGTTCTATCCAGAGGGACTCCCTATAGAGAAGTCCTTAGGGTTAAGTCATGGGTTATAGTCAACTCCCTATAGAGAATTCCTTAGGTTTGAGTCGGGTTTTTTATAGTCAGGACTCACCTATAGAAAGTCCTTAGTGTTTGAGGTCAGGGTTACTAGGTCAGCTCACCATAAGAAGTCCCTAGGGTTAGAGTTCCGGGGGTTTAGGTCAACTCACCTTAGAAGGAAGTCCTTAGGGTTAGAGGTCGGGGGTAGCCCTCACCCTATAGAAGAATCCTTAGGGTTAGAGGTCAGGTAACTCCCCTATAGAGAGAAGCCTTAGGTTTAGAGTCCCAGGGTTATAGGTCGCTCCCTATGAGATTCCTTAGGGTTAGTAAGGTCAGGGGTTATAGGGTCAAACTCACCCGTATGGCAGTCCTTAGGGTTAGAGGTCAGTGGTTATGGTCAGACTCAACCTATCTAGAATCCTTAGGGGGTTAGAGGTCAGGGGTTATAGGTCGGACTCACTATAGAGAAGTCCTTAGGGTTAGAGGTCAATAGGGGTTATTTAGTTCAGACTCACCTATAGAGAAGTCCTTATGGGTTAGAGGTCAGGGTTCTAGGTCATACTCACCTATAGAGAATCCTTATGTTAGAGGTCAGGGTGTTATAGGTCAGACTCACCTATAGAGAAGTCCCCTATGGTTAGAGGTCAGGGGTTTATAGGTCAGACTCAACCTATAGAGAAGTCTTATGTTATAGGCAGGGGTGCGAGGTCAGACTCACCTATAGAGAAGTCCTTAGGTTAGAGTCAGGGGTTTATAAGGTCAGACTCACCTTAGAAGAAGTCCTTAGGGTTATAGGTCCAGGGTTAATAGGTCCGACTCACCTATAGAGACGTCCCTTAGGGTAGAGGTCAGGGGTTATAGGAGTCAGACCTCCCTATTAGACGTCCTTAGGGTTTAGGGTCATCAGGGTTATATGTCAGACTCACCCTATAGAGAAAGTCCTTAGTGTTAGAGGTCAGGGTTATAGGTCAGACCACCTATAGAGAGCGTCCTTAGTGTTAGAGTCAGGTGTTATAGGTCAGACTCACCTATAAGAGAAGTCCTATGGGTTAAGAGGTCAGGGTTATGGTCAACTCACCTATAGAGAGAGTCCTTAGGGTTAAGGTGCATGGGTTATATCGACTCACCTATAGAGAATCCTTAGGGTTATGAGGGTCAGGGGTTATAGGTCATACGCTCACCTATAGAGAAGTCCTTTAGGTTATAGTCAGAGGGTATAGGTCAGACTCACCTATAGAGAAGTCCTTGGGTAGAGGTCCGAGGGTTATATGTCAAGACTACCTTTAGGAAGTCCCGGAGGGTTAGAGGTCAGGGGTTATAGGTAGACTCCCTATAAGAGAAGGTCATGTCCTTTTCCTTTAGAACTCCTCCTTAAGGAAACTCAAGCAAAGCAACTTCTCTCTTATTTTCTTCTGGTGAAGACAGCTGTCATCAACGTTATCTAAATGTCGCATCGGCAAAGACAGACAGACATACATCATGCAGTGTCATAGTGTGCAGCATGCATCCAAGAGACAACAGACAGACAATCCATACATACATAAAATCAGACATACAGCCAAGTACAGACATGCAGTCATGCATTCAGTCAGTCAGGAATCAGGCAGACATACAACATTCAGGGTAGACATGCAGACAATGGCATGTAGACGCATGCAGTTAACAGGCATACAGACAGACATACATACAGACATACTACATACCTGCAGTCAACGTGCAGGAGACAACAAGTGCAGACATAGATGCAAGGCAGACAGCAGGCAGGCAGTCAGGTATACAGCAGGCAGACCACAGACCAGACGACAGACAGGCAGCCAGGCAGGCAAGCCCAAAGAAACAGGCAGCCAATTAGCAGGTAGACAAGGCAACAGAAGGCAGGCAGGCAGACACCAGACATACAGACAGACAGACCGGCAGGCAGACGACAGACTACAGAGAGGTTCAAGTCAGGAGGCAGCAGGTATAACAGCATACAGGAACAGACAGAGGACAGGCAGACCGGGCAACAGCATCCCCCCAAAAATACACAAAACTTGGTCCAGCTGGTAGAACTCTATCCTCTTCCTCCCGGACTGCAGCTCCGCCCCACAGTTGACACTTCCACACTCCATTGCGGACTCTATCAACTGTCCCCCTGAGGGTAGGATAGAGAGAGAGAGCTGAGAAGAATTCGATATAGAGAGAGAGAGAAGATGAGAAGAGAGAGAGAGAGAGAGAGAGAGAGAGAGAGAGATGTGTTGAATGTGGTGTGAGTGAATGGGTGAATTGTGTGATTGTGATTGAGAGAGAGAGATGTGGGAATATATGTGAGTGTGTGAGGAATGGGGTTATTTATGTGATTGTGTGCGAGAGATGGGTGAATGTTGTTGAGTTGATTGAGAGTGAGTGTACCTCTTCCTGGGGAGTGTTATCTTGGACAGGTAGTTGAGACAAAGTTGATGAAGTCTTTTAATAAGATCCTCCCCCATGTAACGCCTGTAATACTCTGAAACAACCAATCACAGCCATGGATACTCTGAAACAGACCAATCCCAGCCATGGATACTCTAAAACAACCAGTGACTAAGCGGTCCATGTTTGTATAAACCACATGTGGACACATCAGGGTCAGGTCTTACCTGTCGTGCTTACCGCTGTCCATTCTTATATGCCAGCCAATCCGTTCCACAAGCAAACACATGGGTCCCACCTTCTCTACCACGACTACACACAACCAGACTAGTTTTTATTACACTGTCTGTGTGTGTCTGTGTGTGTGTGTGTGTGTGTGTTTGATGGTGTTGTTTTGTCTGGGGGGTTTTTGTGTGTAACCTGCTTGTGTGTCTTTGTGTTGTGTGTTTAACCTGCGTGTGTGTGTGTGTAACCTGCGTGTGTGTGTGTGTGTTTCTGTGTTCTGTGTGTGTGTACCTCGTCTGTGTGTGTGTGGTGGTGTTGTAACCGCGCTGTGTGTGTGTGTTTGTCTGTAACCTGCGTTGTGTGTGGTGTGTGGTCTTTGTTTTGTCTGTAACCCCGCGTCTGTCTGTGTTTGGCAAATGCTCGCCGGGAAGCAGAATTGAGTGCGCACTCTGTGGCCAAAACTATTCACTCCCATGACGAAGCCCACCCGTATAACTGACTCATTAATGCAGTAAACTAGTTACTTAACATGACTAAAGCCCACCCGTTGAACTGACTCGTTAATGCAGTAAACTTTTACTACCCTGACTAAACGCCCACCCGTGGGAACTGACTCGTTAATGCAAGTAACTATTTACTACCATGAACTAAGCCCACCGTTGAACTGACTCGTTAATGCAGTAACTATTTACTACCATGACTAAAGCCCCCCGTTGGAACTGACTCGTTAATGCAGTAAGCTAATTTACTAACATGACTAAAGCCCACCCGTTGAACTGACTCGTTGTCAGTAAACTATTTACTACCATGACTAAAGCCCCCCGTTGGAACTGACATCTTTAAATATGCAGTAAACTATTTAACTACATGACTAAAGCCCACCCTTGGAACTGACTCAGTAAATCAGTAAACTATTTACTAACCATGACTACAGCCCACCCGTTTGCACTGACTCGTTAATGCAGTAACTATTTACTTACATGACTAAAGCCCATCCCGTTGGAACTGACTCGTTAATGCAGTAAACTATTTACTACCATGACTAAAGCCACCCGTTGGAACTTGACTCTAATGCAGTAACTATTTACTACCATGACTCAAGCCCACCCGTTGGAACTGACTCGTTAATGCAGTAAACTATTTACTACCCTGACTAAAGCCAAGCCCACCCCGTTGGACTGACTCGTTACTGCAGTGACTATTACTAACATGACTAAAGCCCACCCGTTCTAATTGACTCGTTAATGCAGTAAACTATTTACTAAATGACTAAGCCGCCCCGTTTGGACTGACTCGTTAATGCAGTAACTATTTACTACTACCAGACTAAAGCCCACCCGTTGACTGACTCGTTATGCAGTACACTATTTACTACCTGACTAAGCCCACCCGTTGGAACGCTCGTTTGCAGTAAACAAATATTTACTACATGCTAAAGCCCCACCCCTTTGAACTGACTCGGTTATGCAGTAAACTATTTACTACATGACGAAGCCCACCCGTTGGAACTGACGCGTTTTTAAAAATGCAGTACACTATTTTACTAACTACCATGACTAAAGCCCACCCGTTTGGAACCTGACTCTTAATGCAGTAAACTATTTTACTACCATGACTAACCCACCCGTTGTGAACTGACTCTTAATTAATGCAGTAAACTATTTACTAACATGATAAAGCCCACCCTTGAACCGGACTCGGTAATGCAGTACACTATTTTACTAACATACAGCCCACCCACCCTTGGAACTGCTCGTTATGCAGTAAACTATTTACTAACATGACAAAGCCCACCCGTTGGAACGACTCGTCCTTCATAAACTATTTCCGATCATGACAAAAAGCCAACCCGTTTGGAACGACTCGTAATGCAGTTACAAACTTTTTCTACCATGACTACAGCCCACCCGTTGGAACGACTCGTTCAGCAGTAAAACTATTTACTACCATGACTACACCCACCCGTTGGAACTGACTCGGTTAATGCAGTAAACTATTTAATACCATGACTAAAGCCCACCCGTTGGAACTGACTCGTTCTGCCGTAAACTATTACTATCATACTAAGCCTCACCCGGTGGAACTGACCTTAATCGTAAACTATTTACTACCATGACTAAGCCACCCGTTGGAACTGACTGCGTTCAGCAGTAAACTATTTACTTATACCATACTAAACCCACCCGTTGGAAACTGACTTCGTTATGCAGTAAACTATTTACCTAACATATAAAGCCCACCCGTTGGAACTGACTCGTTCATTGCAGTAAACTATTTACTAACATGACTAAGAGCACACCCGTTGGGAACTGACTCGTTAATGCAGTAAAACTATTTACTACCATGACTAAAGCCACCGTTGTAACTGACTCATTATGCAGTAAACTATTACTCCTCCCATTACTAAAGCCCACCCTTGGAACTGACTCGTTAATGCCTAAACTATTTCTACTACATGAACTAAAGCCCACTCCGTGTGGAACTGACTCGTTCAATGCATTAACTATTTTCCTACATGACTAAAGCCCACCCGTTGGAACTGACTCGTTAATGCCGTAAACTATTTAACTACATGACCTTTTAAAGCCCACCTGGAAACTGACTCGTTAAGCAATTAACTATTGACTAACATGACTAAATCCACACCCTTTGAACGACTCTTTAATGCAGTGAACTATTTACTCTCATGACGAAGCCACCCGTTGGAACTGACTCATTACGGCAGTAAAAACATTTACTCTACCATTACTAAAGTCCCACCGTTGGAACTGACTCATTAAGGCAGTAAACTATTTACTACCATACTAGATCCCACCCTTTGGAACTGACTCGTTACTGCAGTCAACTATTTACATCATGACTAAACCCCCCGTTGGGAACTGACTCGTTTTGTAAAAATTGCAGTAAACTATTTACTAACATGACTAAGCCCAACCCGTTGGAACTGACTCGTTAATGCAGTAAACTATTTACTATCATGACTAAAGCCCACCCGTTGGAACTGACTCGTTAATGCAGTAAACTATTTACTACCATTTTTTTTACATTTTACATTTTAGTCATTTAGCAGACGCTCTTATCCAGAGCGACTTACATGTAAAAAAATATATATATATATACTGGCCCCCGTGGGAATTGAACCCACAACCCCTGGCGTTTGCAAACGCCATGCTCTACCAACTGAGCTACATCCCTGCCGGCCATTCCCTCCCCTACCCTGGACAACGCTGGGCAAATTGTGCGCCGCCCCATGGGTCTTCATGCAACATGACTAAAGCCCACCCGTTGTAACTGATTCATTAATGCAGTAAAGCTCCAATGATGTTTTGGACACTTTGGTGTGTGTGTGTGTGTGTGTGGTGTGTGTGTGTGTGGTGTGTGTGTGGTGTGTGTGGTGTGTGTGGTGTGTGTGGTGTGTGTGTGTGGTGTGTGTGGTGTGTGTGTGTGCATCATGACCTTTACAGAGAAGTGCTGAGAAGGTCAGAGTAGCTAAATACAACCTGACGGATCAGTTGACACACACACACACACACACACACACACGTTGGAGGCGCTGTGTAAATTCACTGAGCTTGATTCCATAGTGAGACGTCACTGAGCTTGATTCCATAGTGAGACGTCACTGAGCTTGATTCCATAGTGAGACGTCACTGAGCTTGATTCCATAGTGAGACGTCACTGAGCTTGATTCCATAGTGAGACGTCAGTGAGCTTGATTCCATAGTGAGACGTCAGTGAGCTTGATTCCATAGTGAGACGTCAGTGAGCTTGATTCCATAGTGAGACGTCAGTGAGCTTGATTCCATAGTGAGACGTCAGTGAGCTTGATTCCATAGTGAGACGTCACTGAGCTTGATTCCATAGTGAGACGTCACTGAGCTTGATTCCATAGTGAGACGTCACTGAGCTTGATTCCATAGAGAGACGTCAGTTGTTATTTGCAGATCAGTGATTCTGCAGAGCATTGCATTAATATTTATTATAAACTGGCTAGTTTGGGTCCTGGATGCTGAAGGCTGAAACAGCATTCCAGCCGTGTGTACTGTGCATTGGGAAAGTATTCAGACCCCTTGACTTTTCCCACATTTTGTTACGTTTCAGCCTTATTCTAAAATGGATTAAATTGTTTTTTCCCCCCTCATCAATCTACACAAAATACCCTATAATGACAAAGCAAAAACAGGTTTTTAGAAGTGTTGGCAAATATAGAAAAACATTTTTTAGAAAAACATGCTAGATGTGCAAGAGATTATGTGCAAATAGAGATACTGGGGTGCAAAAGAGCAAAATAAATAACAATATAGGGATGAGGTAGTTGGGTGGGCTAATTTCAGATGGGCTGTGTACAGGTGCAGTGATCGGTAAGGTGCTCTGACAACTGATGCTTAAAGTTATTGAGGGAGATAAGCGTCTCCAGCTTCAGAGATTTTTGCAATTCGTTCCAGTCATTGGCAGCAGAGAACTGGAAGGAATGGCGGCCAAAGGAGGTGTTGGCTTTGGGAATGACCAGTGAGATATACCTGCTGGAGCGCAGACTACGGGTGGGTGCTGCTATGGTGACCAATGAGCTAACATAAGGCGGGGATTTGCCTAGCAGTGATTTATAGATGGCCTGGAGCCAGTGGGTTTGACGACGAACATGTAGTGAGGACCAGCCAACAAGAGCGTACAGGTCACAGTGGTGGGTAGTGTATGGGGCTTTGGAGACAAAACGGATGGCACTGTGATAGACTACATCCAATTTGCTGAGTAGAGTGTTGGACCCCTTGACTTTTTCCACATTTTGTTACGTTTCAGCCTTATTCTAAAATTGATTAAATTGTTTTTTTCCACCCTCATCAATCTACACAAAATACCCTATAATGACAAAGCAAAAACAGGTTTTTAGAAGTGTTGGCAAATATAGAAAAACATTTTTTACATAAGTTTTCAGTCCCTTTACTCAGTACTTTGTTGAAGCACCTTTGGCAGCAATAAGAGCCTCGATTCTTCTTGGATATGACACTACAAGCTTGGCACACCTGTATTTGGGGAGTTTCTCCCATTCTTCTCTGCAGATCCTCTCAAGGACTGTCAGGTTGGATGGGGAGCGTCACTGCACAACTATTTTCAGCTCTCTCCAGAGATGTTCGATCGGGTTCAAGTCCAGGCTCTGGCTGGGCCACTCAAGGACATTCAGAGAAACTCCCCAAATATCCCCACACCTTCACTCCCTCACACACCAGACACACCTTAACTCCCTCACACAGACACACCTTAACTCCCTCACACACCAGACACACCTTAACTCCCTCACACCAGACACACCTTAACTCCCTCACACACCAGACACACCTTAACTCCCTCACACAGACACACCTTAACTCCCACACACAGACACACACCGTCATCTCCCAGTTGTTCTTTGATCTTGATGAAGTCCGACCCCCCCACCACGCCGACTCGAACACGCCGCCGCAGACGCTGCAGAAGGTCCTCCATCCCAGGAGTCACCCTCTGGAACACATTAGTACACTGTTGCTACAGCAACTATTCAAGTGGTATCAGCAACCATTCAATCCATCAGACAGACACCCACCCAACACACAGTCCTGCCTCTACCATGGATACAGTATATATCATTCACCCGGACTAATATAACTAAACCATAACACGCTCTCTAACAATGGTCCATTTGACCTGTCTATAGGTCAGTGAACAGGGATGTATTCATTAAGCCGTTTTGCAACAGAAAAAGTTGACTCCAAATGGAAAACGTTTTGCAAAGAAAACGAGAGTTTCTATTGGACAAATGCAGGTAGGTGTGAACTAACGTTAACGTTGATCCATTGGACCTGTCTATGAGTTAGTGGTTAGTGGACTGTAGCAGGGGACCTATCGTTGGTCTCCTTACCTGTCTATGAGTTAGTGGACTGTAGCAGGGGACCTATCGTTGGTCTCCTTACCTGTCTATGAGTTAGTGGACTGTAGCAGGGGACCTATCGTTGGTCTCCTTACCTGTCTATGAGTTAGTGGACTGTAGCAGGGGACCTATCGTTGGTCTCCTTACCTGTCTATGAGTTAGTGGACTGTAGCAGGGGACCTATCGTTGGTCTCCTTACCTGTCTATGAGTTAGTGGACTGTAGTAGGGGACCTATCGTTAGCAGCACCGTAGGAACTATCGTTGGTCTCCTTACCTGTCTATGAGTTAGTGGTTAGTGGACTGTAGCAGGGGACCTATCGTTGGTCTCCTTACCTGTCTATGAGTTAGTGGTTAGTGGACTGTAGCAGGGGACCTATCGTTGGTCTCCTTACCTGTCTATGAGTTAGTGGACTGTAGCAGGGGACCTATCGTTAGCAGCACCGTAGGAACTATCGTTGGTCTCCTTACCTGTCTATGAGTTAGTGGACTGTAGCAGGGGACCTATCGTTAGCAGCACCGTAGGAACTATCGTTGGTCTCCTTACCTGTCTATGAGTTAGTGGACTGTAGCAGGGGACCTATCGTTGGTCTCCTTAACTGTCTATGAGTTAGTGGACTGTAGCAGGGGACCTATCGTTAGCAGCACCGTAGGAACTATCGTTGGTCTCCTTACCTGTCTATGAGTTAGTGGTTAGTGGACTGTAGCAGGGGACCTATCGTTAGCAGCACCGTAGGAACTATCGTTGGTCTCCTTACCTGTCGAGCGGCAGTCAGCGTCCCGTCCACATCGAAGAGACACAGCGTCGAGGTGTCGACAGCTTCACTCATCTTGTTCGTAGTAAATGTGTTGTTAGTAAATTACGGCAGACGGTGTTGGAGGAATAGTTGTTCGCCGTCCGGGACACAGAGGACGGAAAACTGATTTGAAGGCGGAAGAGACTAGTGGACGGACTGCAACGTCATCTGTGGTTTGTGTATACGGAAGTAAGTATAGTCCCTTTGTCCAATCACAGCGCACTGTGGGCGTGGCTTTGTTACATTTTATTCGCTCGTTTTGTACATTCGGGGGAACGCCAAATATTTGGTGATTGGCCTCATAATTAAATATAAAAGGATTTGAAAGACTGAATTATTGACAAACAGAGAATTGAATAGTTTATTTGTACACAGCTCAATCCAGCTGAACTGAGCTGTGTAGAAGTTTCATAGGGTTTTGGCGCCACTTAGTGGCCATTAATACTACACAGCTGCTGTAGAGAGACGGCAGGGACCAAGAAGAGTTGGGGTTGAAAAGGCTAGTTGATGATGGTGGTTGATGATGGTGGATGATGACGGTGGTTGATGATGGTGGTTGATGATGGTGGTTGATGATGGTGGTGATGATGGTGGTTGATGATAATGGTTGATGATAATGGTGGTAGTTGATGATGATGGTAGTTGATAGTGGTGGTTGATGATGGTGGATGATGATGGTGGTTGATGATGGTGGTTGATGATAATGGTTGATGATGGTGGTTGATGATGGTGGTTGATGATGGTGGTTGATGATGGTGGTTGATGATGGTGGTTGATGATGGTGGATGATGATGGTGGATGATGATGGTGGTTGATGATGGTGGTTGATGATGGTGGTTGATGATGGTGGTTGATGATGGTGGTTGATGATAATGGTTGATGATAATGGTGGTAGTTGATGATGATGGTAGTTGATAGTGGTGGTTGATGATGGTGGATGATGATGGTGGTTGATGATGGTGGTTGATGATAATGGTTGATGATAATGGTGGTAGTTGATGATGATGGTAGTTGATAGTGGTGGTTGATGATGGTGGATGCTGATGGTGGTTTGATGATGGTGGTTGATGATAATGGTTGATGATAATGGGGTAGTTGATGATGATGGTAGTTGATAGTGGTGGTTGATGATGGTGGTTGATGATGGTATTTGATGATGGTGGTTGATAATGCTTGTTGATAATGATCACGTAGCTGACTAGTGGTGTCTATTCAGCAGACTGATGGTCTGGGGGTAGAACCAGCTGACTAGTGGTGTCTATTCAGCAGACTGATGGTCTGGGGGTAGAACCAGCTGACTAGTGGTGTCTATTCAGCAGCCTGATGGTCTGGGGGTAGAACCAGCTGACTAGTGGTGTCTATTCAGCAGACTGATGGTCTGGGGGTAGAAGCTATTGGCCGGTCTGACAGTCTTTGTCATGATGCTCCTATACTGCCGGTGTCTGAGTGATGGAAGCGGGGAGAACAGGCCGTGGCTCGGGTGGCTGGGGTCCCTGATGATCTCCTTGGTCATCCTGCGACACCTGGTGCTGTAGGTGTCCTGGAGGGGAGGCAGTGAGCACCCAGTGGTACGTTAGGCTGAGCGTATCACCCTCTGTAGCGCCTTGCGGTCAGCGGCGGTGGAGTTGCCGTACCAGGCTGTATCACCCTCTGTAGCGCCTTGCGGTCAGCGGCGGTGGAGTTGCCGTACCAGGCTGTATCACCCTCTGTAGCGCCTTGCGGCCAGCGGCGGTGGAGTTGCCGTACCAGGCTGTATCACCCTCTGTAGCGCCTTGCGGTCAGCGGCGGTGGAGTTGCCGTACCAGGCTGTATCACCCTCTGTAGCGCCTTGCGGTCAGCGGCGGTGGAGTTGCCGTACCAGGCTGTATCACCCTCTGTAGCGCCTTGCGGTCAGCGGCGGTGGAGTTGCCGTACCAGGCTGTATCACCCTCTGTAGCGCCTTGCGGTCAGCGGCGGTGGAGTTGCCGTACCAGGCTGTGATGTGTACAGACGATGGCGTCGGATGAAAGTGTATTCAGATCAGTGGAGGTTCGGGAGTTTCTACTTTTAGATACAATAAGCACAGTGCTGTTGGTGTCTTTCAATATTTGACTAAAGTAGGCTTTATAGTACGTCCCACTTCTTTTCTTGTTATTGAGAGACAGAGACAAGGCAGTTAGCAACAAATGGTGTTTTACTCCCTCGTGTGGATCATAATGGTACTACAGCTGATGCTTAGCCATGAGTTGAAGTACAACTGCTCAAAAATAAATAAAGGGAACACTTAAACAACACAATGTAACTCCAAGTCAATCACACTTCTGTGAAATCAAACTGTCCACTTAGGAAGCAACACTGATTGACAATACATTTTCCATGCTGTTGTGCAAATGGAATAGACAACAGGTGGAAATTATAGGCAATTAGCAAGACACCCCCCCAATAAAGGAGTGGTTTTGCAGGTGGTGACCACAGACCACTTCTCAGTTCCTATGCTTCCTGGCTGATGTTTTGGTCACTTTTGAATGCTGGCGGTGCTTTCACTCTAGTGGTAGCATGAGACGGAGTCTACAACCCACACAAGTGGCTCAGGTAGTGCAGCTCATCCAGGATGGCACATCAATGCGAGCTGTGGCAAGAAGGTTTGCTGTGTCTGTCAGCGTAGTGTCCAGAGCATGGAGGCGCTACCAGGAGACAGGCCAGTACATCAGGAGACGTGGAGGAGGCCGTAGGAGGGCAACAACCCAGCAGCAGGACTGCTACCTCCGCCTTTGTGCAAGGAGGAGCAGGAGGAGCACTCCCAGAGCCCTGCAAAATGACCTCCAGCAGGCCACAAATGTGCATGTGTCTGCTTAAACGGTCAGAAACAGACTCCATGAGGGTGGTATGAGGGCCCGACGTCCACAGGTGGGGGTTGTGCTTACAGCCCAACACCGTGCAGGACGTTTGGCATTTGCCAGAGAACACCAAGATTGGCAAATTCGCCACTGGCGCCCTGTGCTCTTCACAGATGAAAGCAGGTTCACACTGAGCACATGTGACAGACGTGACAGAGTCTGGAGACGCCGTGGAGAACGTTCTGCTGCCTGCAACATCCTCCAGCATGACCTTTGGCGGTGGGTCAGTCATGGTGTGGGTGGCATTTTTTTGGGGGGGCCGCACAGCCCTCCATGTGCTCGCCAGAGGTAGCCTGACTGCCATTAGGTACCGAGATGAGATCCTCAGACCCCTTGTGAGACCATATGCTGGTGCGGTTGGCCCTGGGTTCCTTCAAATGCAAGACAATGCTAGACCTCATGTGGCTGGAGTGTGTCAGCAGTTCCTGCAAGAGGAAGGCACTGATGCTATGGACTGGCCCGCCCGTTCCCCAGACCTGAATCCAATTGAGCACATCAGGGACATCATGTCTCGCTCCATCCACCAACGCCACGTTGCACCACAGACTGTCCAGGAGTTGGCGGATGCTTTAGTCCAGGTCTGGGAGGAGATCCCTCAGGAGACCATCCGCCACCTCATCAGGAGCATGCCCAGGCGTTGTAGGGAGGTCATACAGGCACGTGGAGGCCACACACACTACTGAGCCTCATAAGGACATTACATCAAAGTTGGATCAGCCTGTAGTGTGGTTTTCCACTTTAATTTTGAGGGTGACTCCAAATCCAGACCTCCATGGGCTGATAAATTTGATTTCCATTGATAATTTTTGTGTGATTTTGTTGTCAGCACATTCAACTATGTAAAGAAAAAAGTATTTAAAAATATTATTTCATTCATTCAGATCTAGGATGTGTTATTTTAGTGTTCCCTTTATTTTTTTGAGTAGTGTATATTTACACAGTAAGACCAGAGGAGGTGTGGTATATGGCCAATATACCACGGCTAAGGGCTGTTCTTTCGCACAACGCAATGCGGAGTGCCTGGATACAGCCATTAGCCGTGATATATTGGCCATATACCATAGTACCTGGATACAGCCCTTAGCCGTGGTATATTGGCCATATACCATAGTGCCTGGATACAGCCATTAGCCGTGGTATATTGGCCATATACCATAGTGCCTGGATACAGCCATTAGCCGTGGTATATTGGCCATATACCATAGTGCCTGGATACAGCCCTTAGCCGTGGTATATTGGCCATATACCATAGTGCCTGGATACAGCCCTTAGCCGTGGTATATTGGCCATATACCATAGTGCCTGGATACAGCCCTTAGCCGTGGTATATTGGCCATATACCATAGTACCTGGATACAGCCCTTAGCAGTGGTATATTGGCCATATACCACAAACCCCCAAGGTGCCTTATTGCTATTATAAACTGGTTACCAACGTAATTAGAACAGTAAATAGTAATGTTTTGTCATACCTGTGGTATATGGTCTGATATACCATGGCTTTCAGCTCAAACCACCCAGTTTATAATTGGTGATTCATAAAAGCATTGTTGTTGTTTTTTAAATCAGGGAAAATAAAGATTATATTTCATGCTAGTGGTCGCACACACACACACACACAGCTGGGGAGGAGGATGGTGGGAGAGGGAGGGGGGGGGGGGGGGGGAGAAAGCTGCAGGAGGGAGGGGGAGAGGAGGAAGAGCGAGGAGGGAGGGGGGAGGGGAGAAGACGAGGAGGGGAGGGGGGGGGAGAAGACGCAGGAGGGCAGGGGGTAGAGGAAGAAGACGAGGAGAGAGGGGGGGGGGGGGAGGGGAAAACGGGGGGAAAAAAGGAAGAAGACGAGGAAAGGGGGGGGGGGGAGAAGAAGAAGGGGGGGAGGGAGGGGGGGGGGGGAAGATAGGGGGGAGGGGGGAGAGGAAGAAGGCAGGGGGGAGGGGGAGAGGAAGAAGAAGAGGAGGGAGGGGGGGGGGAGGGGGGTTCCCCAAGAGCCCCATTTCCCCTCCTGTTTCCTGGGAGGGGGTAGCGTTCCCCCAAAAAACCCGTTTCCTGGGGAGGGGAGGACAGTGTAAAACCTTATAATTTAAAACCTTTAATTTACGTTTTGTGGCCCCGTTTTAAAGAACTCTTTCCCTTTATTACTGATAAATAAAAGGGGAAA